TAATACGCGTTTTGTAATATAAGCACACAATGGTGAGCATGCGTTTACATTGCTCAAAAATCAGAACGAAATGAACTTTGGGTGACTGCTATGTGCTTGCAATGGTCGTAGCTACAGTTGTCTTACATACATTTGTCGTAGATTCATTCAAATCAACTGTTCATCTTAAGTTGCGATCATTCATTTTTTTTTCGTTTCTTTATTTTTTCTGAATTGAAATTTCGTCGAGGACTGGACTGTGTAGTTTATATTAGATCACATTCGTTTTAATGGAGCATCGTGCTGAAATAATGCAGATTACATGGTGCTGAAGACGTTTTCGATCGTTTTGGTTAATTTGTTGAGGAACTCTTACAGGCTTAGGATCATTCGGGGAGAATCGAGGAGTGAATTATGAATCAATTGGTTGCATACGAAAGTGATGACGAATCACCCGAGAGAAGGAGATCACGTGAGGAATTCGTAAGGGAAGCTGTTGATTTAGGTGAGTTTCCTGTGTGTTTATTTCGATGGAAGATTTTTGCTCAAAGTTTAATTCATTGCTCAACTTCCTTCCATTTGAAGTTTAGTCGTTCGATAAAACAACTGATGCTTGAAAATCAATATTCGCATTGAAATAAATGTTAAGTCGCTATTCTCAGTGAGGTTGTTTCAATAGTGCATCTGCCACTTAATTAAGTTTGAAGGATTTTTATCCTCTTGAAAGATTTTTATTTTCTCAATAATTATCACTCAGAATGCAGATAGTACTTGAATTTTTACAAATCTACGAATTCTCCGTTGTTTGAATTGCTGCTTATAGGTGGTGATGTATCAGCGGACACAAGGAAGAAACATTATTCGAACAAAGGCCGAAAGAATTCCGAGCGTTGGACAGGTGATTATTTATTTTGGCCCAGCTTTTCCTTCTTATTGTTCACGCAGTCGCAAGAAATAAGTTGCCATTTTGTATAAAATGGTTGCAAAATTGAAATCCAGCATCCTTGATTTTCACATTTATTGATAACTTTCTGACGTAATCTGTTGCGTTATAGTAAAGTTTCAGAGCATCGCCACACACTCACACAATACGAAAATTTGAGTTCTTTTCAAGTGAGATTATCCGTCGGTCACAGAAACACTCATTTTTCTTCACCGATTGCGTAGGAACGTTTTTTGAGAAGCTAGGATATAGAGCAGAGAACACGTGCAAGCAGTTGAAAGAAACTAATTTTAGCATCCGACGACGAAGGGGATGCTCGTGAAGGATCTTCTCGTGAGACTTCTTCACACTCATCGGATTCATCAAGTGTTGGTGAGCAACCGCCTCCACCGAAACGCTTCAGCCCGTTTCCCTCGGAACGATCGGTTCAAAGCGATGGCGGTGCATTATCGCATTCGGCATCAGTCAAAAATGTTCGCGCGCTCAGTCGAATGCCAGTCACGCAAAGTCAGACGTCGTTGGTTTCATATGGTGGCGCAGGTGAAGAAGAAGATGCCGATGATCAGTTTGCTAAAGGTTGAGAATTTTTATTCTGTTCGCAAAATTTGGCAGACGATCACATTTTGTCACTCGTTAAAGTTTTAGTAATTTTGTCATCATATTCACTATTGAATTCAAAACAGAAACATGTTCCCGTAGGTTTGTGAATTGAGAAAAGTGGACATGAGCAGAGTGGATGACATTATTTATTCGGTTGTTCCTGTGAGGATCAATTCGTTTCGATTGCTTTCAGTGTTGACGCGATAAGAGAAGGTGCATTAGTAGTGGATCTTCGTAGCTTATTAAATTGGTGGTTTCAGCCGACAAGAAAGCAGCAGCCGAATTCAAGTCACGCCTCATC